CCATGCAACAAACCTCGGTGCCAACTCTGCCCACATATATACACCAGCAACACCATCACAGGACCTAACCAGATCAGCCATACGGTCACTGGTACATTCTCCTGCACATCTACTAACGTAATATATGCCATCATGTGCCAACAATGCCCCACTGCTATGTACATCGGCCAAACTGGACAGTCCCTACGTAAAAGAATCAATGGACACAAATCAGATATTAGGAATGGCAACATACAAAAACCTGTAGGGGAACACTTCAGTCTCCCTGGACACACAATTGCAGATCTAAAGGTAGCCATCCTGCAGCAAAAAAACTTCAAGACCAGACTTCAAAGAGAAACCACTGAGCTACAGTTCAAGTTTGACACCATCAACTCAGGATTAAACAAAGACTGTGAATGGCTTGCTAACTACAAAAGCAGCTTCTCCTCTCTTGGAATTCACAACTCCAGATCAGCTACTAGAAGTGGGCCTCATCCTCCCTGATTGGATCCACCTCGTCATCTCCAGCCTGATTCTGGCCTGCATATTTATACCCGCCTCTGGAAATTTCAACTACATGCATCTGACGAAGTGGATCTTTGCCCACGAAAGCTTATGCTCTAACACTTCAGTTAGTCTATAAGGTGCCACAGGACTCCTCGCTGCTTTTGCAGATTCAGACTAACACGGCTATCCCTCTGAAACTTGACATAAAGGAATAGAGTGCCGGGAAAACAGGACATATGGGAATCCACCTCCCACATGCTCTGCAACCCTCAATTCTGCACTGCCACTGGTGGTGGCACTGGCACTTTGGCAGCTCAGCTCTGAAGGCAGTGCCCCTGCCAGCAGCAGGGCAGAAGTGAGCTGAGCAATCACACAAAACCTCTACATTAGCACTGCAACTTACCCTCCCAACTGCCTTTGGAAGTGGGGAGGGTAATAACATCATAAAATTTCAGATGTAAACGTATGAATATGTTAAATTGATTAATTTTAAAACACCCCCTTCCAGCAATGAAATAGACCAAATGTACCATGAATTTGAGTAATAGTTACTAGTAATAGTTAATTTTGAAATTTAAATTGCCATCCATACTCATCATCTTTCAGAATTAACTCCCCATTCAGATTAAAGGGAGCTATTCAGATTTTCCAGAGCTGCTATTTCAGGCTGCTTGCAGACTCAAGGAGATAGAATTTCAACCATTTATGCTTGCCTCATGTTTTTTAACATAAGATTTCATGCAGAAGCATAATTCATACGGCTGTAGAATTACAGAGTACATAGGATCATTTCTAAATAGTATTTTGTATCTTAATTTCAGCTGTAGCTTTGAGCTTGGATTA